CCTTACACATCCCATCTAACCTAATTTTTTGAAAAAATTATATATCTCAAAAACAATAGAAACCAATTTAAAATCGAACATATTTTCATTAAAAATTAAACTTTATAGTTCTTTTATAAGGAAAAGGATAAATTTAAATTACGTAAAAAGTTAAGGTGTAAATAATTGAATTCGTAAAAATTTCGTATAATAATTTAATTCGTAAATTGAAAATTTTATCAAAACATTTTTTTCCATAAATTTAAATTTTATTACTCGATTAAATTCATTAAATAACGATAAATAATGTGGCGATATCTTTTTGAAAAAGGTCTTCAGTAGCAGACAATTGATTTAGTCGCCAACATTTGGTGTTGTCGTGACCTATATTACCCCTAAAACTTTTAACGCAGCCATTTGAATTGAATGCTTTCAACCATTTTTATAACCCTGTCATTTTGGATGATAGATTATCCTTCGGGGCACCAAAAATTCCTCAACATTTATCTGATATGTTCTACGTTTAATATTAAATGTATCACTTCTGGATTTACGATTATCATTTATTTCTTATCTTTTGTGAAATATCGCCGAGCGGCGCTTCGAACTAAAAATTACGATTTCCATCACAAGCTTTAAAGACGGATTTTGAAAATAAAAAGAGCTTAATGAAAATCTGGTCTATAATTAAACAATTTCAAAATTAAGTTCATCGCTACGAATGCCCAACTCTTTTCAATTACTGAAGTTTAATTGTAATTTAATTGTGGACATTTCTGCAATCCGATAAGGCGAGTTATACTTTTAATGTTTAGTTTTCTTTTACTGGGAATTCAATTTGATATTTTCTGAAACTAAAACCCTTAATAAATCAACGGAGCATGGAAACTTTCTGCGCTGATAAGTGTATGTAATTTAATTAGAAAAAACTGAAATTATATTATATCTATTTTAAAAATGTTAAATGCAGATTTTAGTTTAAACATTACGATAAATATACAAAGTCTATTTTGAAATAATATATACAATCACGGTGCTGTTCTGAGAGGTGATTTTTGGACTTTCTGTGAAACCTAATTTTTTTTTATATTCTTGTTAATTAGGTCACAACTAAAATTTTAAGAGCAAAATAAAAAAAATTTGATGGTTTGAATTGTTTTAATTGGCTGTTTATTAAAAATATTATGCACTCTATCCAATTAAAACTAGCAATTTAATTTAAATATTTAATATTTGCATAACTAAAAAAAAGGTTTTTACAATTTTTTTTTTTATAAATTTTACTGTTTTGTTGCAATAAACGTTCAAACTTTTAATCTAACCTTTGACGTATACATTTATGTTCCCTTAATTAATATATCCTTAAAGGTTGCCATGAAACTTAGATCTATTAAAAATTTATTTGACGTTTGAATTGTCATTTTCAGTATACGTATTCTATAATTTTTGTTTAGTTTTTTAAAGTGTTTTTTATAAACAAAAATGAAAAATTGTAGTAACAGTTACGAAGAAAGTCATGAAATTTTACTAAGGACCGGTTTATTCATCTTTAGTTAAGTTTATCGGGCCGATAACTTTCATGTCTTGGCAATATCTAGTATCCAAAGAAATTATTCGTCAAATAAATAAAAAATGAATAAATCTGCCCTAAATAAAATGTGGCACCCTTAGAATTATTGTTTAATAAACGTGTATTACAACAAAACAGTAAAAGATATAAAAAATGTATAGACATTTTTTAGGAAATTAACTAATCTTTAATCTGATTTAAAAAGTTATGATAATATTTAAATAAAATCGCAAGTTTTAATTGGAGAATTGAAAATGTGCATACATATTTTTAATAAACATCCAAATAAAACAAAATTAACCGTCAAATTTTTTTTATTTTGCTCTTAAAATTTTAGTTATGGCCTAATTAACAAGAATATAACAAAAAATTAGGTTTCACAGAAAGTCCAAAAATCACCTCTCAGAACAGCACCGTGCAATGTATACATTGTTGATAATTATAATTATAATTTTAATAATTATAATTATAATTTTCTTAATAAAATCAATAATAAAGTTATCTTGTCAACTTTATTCATGGACTTAGTATACATAATATATACATATAATAAATATAAAAGTCTGTCTGCTTGTTTCACTTTCACTCGTAAAATGCTGAACCGATTTTGATCAAATTTGAATTGTGACGGAAGCTAGGTGAAACAGACCAATAGACGTATCAACGTTTGACGCGAAGAACATCGTAACGCAGTCTTAAAATTCCAACGTACAAACTTAAAATTGGTAGAAAAGTACTATAAATGTTTAACAGACAAAAAAGTAGAGTAGGTATAAATAGATTTAAATAGATTTAAAGTTAAGTTTTTATTACACGTGCTTAAAGCAAGAGTTTATTAGAAATAATTATTTAACTATTTAAAATTTACCAATAAATATACACATTTAAATAGGAAATACTGAGCGAATATCATAAAGCATAAATGACATAAATGAATAGCCGTCTACTAGGAAAAATAATATCGGGTAACTACTGCTTCCAATAGTGTTTCTTAATTATTTTTTTTACTCCCTTTATCGTACATGTTTCCATGACACTAAGTGACCTTTTAAATACACATTGACAAGTTGTGGCTTTATGGAGCTTTAGTCACGGGCTGAAGTTAGCAACAAGTTTTTAGTCACGGGCTGAAGTTAGTTGACAGTTGTCAAATGTCATACAATCGTTAAAATAAATTGCCTTTCTTGTAAAATAATACTAAATGTAAAAATTATTTTATTATCTCAATAGTTTCTCAACGCCAATATTTGAAAAGTTTATATGAACATTGTACTGACCTTTTAATTTCGCCGGCAGTAAACTATAACTTAAATTCGGGCACGGACTCCACTGTAGTGTGTGCTCATAAAACATTTTCTTTGCTTTCACTGTGAAAAACTGTCAATTTTCAAGAAATACATTTCGATTTATAACCTTTATAATTGAGTTTATAAAATACAAAAATTTGACATTTGACGGTGACACACAGATTCCCCTATTGTTTCATAGATGGCGCTCTATACAAATTTTTGATTTAAATCATTTTAAGTAAATCATTTTAAGATAATAATAAGTATTTGTCGTAGAAAAAGTATAGTATGCACCTCGTTTATAAACTTTTCTATACACTCATTAATTTAAGAACTCGCTCGCAAGCTCGCTCGTGCCTAAATTAAATTCGTGTATAAAATGGTGTTTATCAAACTTGATACATAATATACTATTAAACTGCTAGTATTGAATACCACATATATTAATATATTTTGAACAGTTTTAAAAATTCTATTTCCTCCGGGTATTAATTTGTTTTGCAAAAATGGCGAATGCGTCGGGATTAAATATAAATTTAAAGTTAAATAATAGTATATTATGTATTTATTATTATTATTATTTATTATTTTATAAAACGAGTTAAAAAATAATATTTTCTACTCATACTGCATATTATAAAAATGTTAGGTAACCATTATAACCGCCCGCCTAAAAACGAAAACGATAAATTATTCACGTTGCTAGGCATCACTAATTTCAATATTTACTGTGATTTAGGGGTTTAGATAGAAAAAAAAGTAATGTTGAAACTGAATTACACATGTCAGATTTTTTTATATATACAAGAGCGATTATAATGATCTTAAACATCGAAAGAAAGAGGGGTTATAATAAATTTTATTATTACTAAAAATTGCTTAACATTTCACGTTAGCACAAAACATGCACTTCTCACAAATTAACAAGACCAGTTGGGAGCAACTAGGCAACAATATAAATAAAATAAAAAAACAACTGACACACTTTCCAAGTGCAGGAACTATCTGACCAGGACACGGACAATGACAATAACGAACAAGACGAAGACCTCGACTAGGAAACTACACCCCTGCAGCGAAATAACAACTCCCCAACTCCAAATAGTAATCCCAAATGTTTGGAGTAATACTAACCGACTGGTCTAAGGGGGATTCTGCGTCGTACTTAGTTTTAAGTCGTCGTAATTGTCCCCCAAAAACCAACAATCCCTCCCATCCCTCCTCCTCTATACCCTACTGGGCGTATAGCATCGGCTCGGCGAACCCCAGAATGGCTATTAAAACTATTCGCATGTCGCTCTCGAGCCCCAAATAGGGGACAGTACGGAACGCATTGTACATTCGCACCCAGCAAACACGGGTGAAGCCGTGCAGTTGCTGGGGAAGAACAAAAATCGGCGTAAGTAAACATAGGTCTGTACGGGGTCCGGGAGTGATGAGGCAATGGGGCTAGTTATACGTCTGTTATACTCATACTCATATTAATAAAAATTGCTTAATTTAAGTAGAAAAGGCATAGTATTACACTCAAATGTATGCCCATTATTAATTTAGATGATTTACTTATCTTGCCTAATGGCTCGAGACGCAAATCTTATTCTTCTGAATAATAGCCTGCAATATCTATTGTATAATATTATACTATTATTTAATTTTAAATGTATCTTTAATAATAGTAAAAAGAAAAAACGTTAAGTGAAGAAATTCGATTAAAAAAGGCATACAATTTGCTCAGGAAATGATTAATAAAATTTAGGAAAACTAAAAAAATACTATTTATATTATTTTGATTTATGCAGAACAATTCAAGGTCAAATATAAAAACGGGTAAGCTAAAAATTACAACAACAAAAATTGGATTAAGACTAATCTCAATCAAGATTATCACTTTTGTAAAAATGTTTTAAATGTTTGATTATTATAATTTATTTATTTAATGTATACCTACTTGTTTTTTATAGCAATAAATTACACTCTAGGTATGTAATTTTTTTAGGTTAAACTTGTTTAACAATTGAAACCAAAATATGCAAAAAACTAATTGGTTTAGTACAAAGTGAAATTTATTGTGGGCCGTAAGGTTTTAATTTAAGGGTTTCGTATAATTTCTTTGTTCTATCGGTTTAATTATTATACTAAAATCTGGATTAACACAAAAAGTGCTAAGGTGGAAAATGCTTATCGTTGATAGTTGGGTGAACAGTAGTTGAGAGCAGGATGTGGTTTAACCCAGCACCGTTCTCGCCTAAGCGGTTAGTATACAGTACTTTCCCCCTTTTTGCTGTTCATTTCCCTTTCTAATCAAACAGAAACGCCTATTTCCTTTTTGACCTGTTGCAATTTGTGAAAGGCTACACTAAAATGCCGGTCATTTGTGTCGAATTTCCTGCTCCTTACTTATGTTCCTTTTTGCACGATTGAAATATTTATTTTGATTAAATTGCAGGTTCGAATCCTCAAATCCTTTTTATGTTCTCACGCATCCCTTTTCCGTTATTTTAATAAATAAAAAAATCGTTCACACTAACAACTTCAACTATACTTTTGACTACTAGCCTTTTAATTTGACATAATTGTGTTTGTACATAAAATATTATATAGTATTGTTAAAACGTATTTATTTGCATTTATTTATTTATTTTATTAAGTTATTGACTAAAAAATGTGTGGGTTTTACTATTCACTATTGTTTTTTATACATTATTTTACATTATTTTTAGTGAAAAAGGGCATATTTTATTTAAAAAGCATCGTAAAGAAAAGTACTAGTTTTATGGTTAGCAAAATTTTTATAAGCAAATCACTTTAAGCAAATCTTAATAATTGAGGCCTGTCAGAGCAAAGTCAACAACCTCCCGTCAGACTAAAACTAAGTAAATTATAATAATTGATTTTGGTATTTTAAATTCTAGATTTGTAATTTTTTTTATATATTATATTGAAATATCGTTGTTGTTAGTCTAGTAGCAAACTACAAGGTCTCCAGGATGCATAGTATAGGTGAAATCTATAATTATAGATTATAATTATAGTTATAAATTGGAGATTGCTGACTTTGATATGAATTGCTGGAAATTGCTCATTTTGTTGTAAACGTTTAAGGGGATTTAGAAAAATAAACAAAAAAAATAATTGTATTTTTTTCCTTTAATGGTTATAAAATTTAACTATACAATCAATGTGGGAAAATTCTGAACTGGAGCACATAGATCTGGAGTTTCTTCTAAATCTGGGAACAGGTTGCCTCGTGCAAAAAAGTTTTATAGTACAACTCATCATCTTCTTCCCACTTTGCCCCGTAATGTTTTACTTGCAATGTTTTGACATTATCAGCCTTTTCTTGATTTACCTTTACCTTTATAATAGCACAAAATAAACAAGATAACTTTTTTTATAATTCTTAAAACAATAAAACGTATATATACCTATTTTAAATATATTTTTAAGTGCAATTTACTGCAATAGAACTTAACAGTATGTACCAGTAAAAAACACAAAATTAAATCTCTAAAATACGTTATAACCTTAAATGTTAGGATATCAGGTGACACAAATTACTAATTTCTAATGGTGGAATTGGAGATTGTATACTTTGCTGCAAATCTATCAGTGGAGATTGTCGACTGCACTAAATGTCATTTTTAAAATAGGATTTTAGGCAGGATTTAGCTCCTTTTATAGATAATTAGTTGAAGTACAGTCTCCGCCAAAAATCTCATTTTTGACCAAAAGTGGAGATTGTCGGTTTTGCTATGACAGGCCTCAATTGTAATACAAAATTTAGGTTTGAACGTCTATCTGACGAATGTTAAACCCGTCTAGACGTTAGTAGAATACTAGGGGAGCCTATAATGATCCATATCGATTTTTATTTTATTAATTAATGCTTTTTCATTAAGAATTATAAAACCAATTATATTGTTCTTCACAAAAAACCTTACTTCTTGATTTTACACTTAAATAACCAAACATACTTAGAACATGTTTAAAAGTTTTATACTTTTCTTGTAAAAAATTATAGAAGTGTATTTTTTTATATTACATAAATACAATTTTTGATCATACATATGGAAGAATTTGCAACTTATTTATATAAAATTTTATTTGCAAAAAGCCGATGTTATAAATAGTCTTTATAATTTAATGACAATTTATTTTGACTGGTATAGAAATTTAAAAAAAAATATTTAAAAAAATGTTGAATATGTAAACTATTAAAATATTTCAAAGATCTCAAACCCAGAGCCAATTCTATTAGGTTCACTTTTTTAAAATCACGTTACATATTTTTTGCCTTTTTTCCTTTTTCTATTGTTAAACAGGATTAAGTCCTGGCTTACTTAGTTTTTTATATATAAAAAATACAGTAATCCAGCATTTAATCCTGTTAGAAAAAGCGGAGAAATGTGATTTTAAAAAAGTTTACTTAATACAGTTTGGCTTAGGTATTTTATTAGAGGCCTGTCTTTTAGGCACTTAAAAATTAAAATAAGACTCTTAAAAATGCACAAGAGGCAATATTAAAAATAAACGTGTTTATTTCTTATAACATTACCAACAAAAATAATTTTTTTAAACAAATTTCAAAAAAAATTTTTGTACTTAATTTTTTTGTTGGCTCAGTGGCTTGCAGAACCAGAGATTATTTGTTTAAACTAGACTTTTAAAACTTATTGCATATATGTATACTTATATAAGTATACTTACTATAAAATTATGAACTGATATATTTCTAGTACAAAGTGTATTTTAAGTAAAATAATAAAAACCTTTCATAGACTATAAATGTACTATTAAAAAACAACAAAACTTAATTAAATAAATTTTGACAAGCGACAGAAAATACTCAATATAAAATAAAATACATTTTAACAAAATCAACTGATTATTTTAACCAAAAGATGACTAACCACCGATTTCACACTTGCATTCTTTACTGACGCTATTTGTCACTTTGCCCTACTAACAAACGAAACAGAAAAAGATAAAATGTTGTGAAAATCTATAATTTAACATTATTTAACATTATTTAAGATTTTGCTTTAAAATGTTTCCAACTCCATTACCATTAAAATTACTTTAAAAAATTGTATTATTACCTTTTCAAAATAAAATACAGTGCTTTTTTTAAATAAAAAAAAATGCCCTGTGTATGTTTATTGTCCATATAAATTTTTATAAATAACATTTTATTATTATTATTATTGTTTATTTAACGATTACACCTTTTAAAAATTAAGTAAAACAACTAAAAACTAAAACTGCCAAACTATTTTACTTTTTTAAGTATTTACTACAATTTGTATTATTTTAAAATAAAAATTGAAAAAGTAATAAAAATTAAATAAAACATCTTACAAAACAATATGTATACCCAAATATTTCCCAATTTATACACCTATGTACTAGGTTAATTTTAGAAATTTGTCTACTCTATCATGTTTCCATGACACCAAGTAATCTTTTAAATTCACATTGACAAGATTTAAGTTAGTTGACAGTTGTCAAATGTCAAAATTATTGTATTATATTAATACAAAAATACAAAAGTAATAAATAGCATTCTCTTTACTTTCAATGTAAACAACTGCTTCTATATCGAAATTAAACGGTTGTTAGTCCATTTCCAAGGGACACATTTACACAGAAAATTTTTACATTTTCCGCCGGTAATACAGATTCCCTTTCTTACGCGAATTGTTACTCTATTTTTGTATATGTGGCTCTGTACAAATATTTAATTTAAATCATTTTTGAATAATAATAACTATAAGTATAAGTATTTGTCTTAAAAAAGTATAGTATTCAACTTGTTTACAAACTTCGTGACTAAAATTGAGTTTATCAAACTTAATTCATAATTTACTATTATTATTATAAAACTTTCTGAGGATTAAAATATAATTTGCAACCATAACTTCTTTTATTATTTTTATTACTTTTATTTTGGAAATTAAAGTTAAAACGAAATAAAAATTAAAAGTTAATATAACATTTTTAACTTCAAAATAACATAAACTGTCAAAATCATTTCCAGTCGTGGGTAAAACTATAAAATATATATAAATATATAAATTTGCATAATATATAGTATACGCAACTTAATGAATATTGCAACTCAAAAAGCTGATTTAACATGTTACTATGCAAATTTTCATAGACTTCTTTCTTAAGAAATAATTTTCTGGATTATGGAATAATTTTCAACTTATAAACATGTTTATAAGTTGATTTATATGGTGGGACCAATTTAATCAACTATCAAGTTTTATACCCAAAAATTTAATAGATGTTATGGGGTTGCTGAAGCTTTATGTAGGTTTTTGTGTTTTATTAATGTTAATCTTAATGTTAACAGGGGTATAACGGTTTATTAAATTAAAGTGGTACAATATTTCATTCACTGAAGTTTATCGACAATTTTCAAATTTTATTAAAAAAATTCAAGAATTACAGGTTTAATACCATTTTAATTTTGTAATATATTGTTATACTTATTATTGTTTAAATTAAGCACGCATTTTTTGTATATATTTTATATTACACTGTAACGGTCGACACAACGCAAGTCAGTCGGTAATAAACCATCACCAAGGACACTGAGTTTTAATTAGTTAATAATCTAGTAAATATATTACAAATTTTTTATTATTTCTTTTACTAAATTAAAAAAAAAATGGAAATGATATAAAATCTGTAATACTTTTTTTAATAAAATTTGAAATTTGTCGATAAACTTTAGTAAATTAAATATTGTACCAATTTAATTTCAATTATCTTAATTTGGGGGGGCAGGAGTCTGGGGGGGCACACTTAAAAACTAACTTTTTTTCGCAAACTTCAATTTAAATTCTGCTTGCGCAGAACTTGTCTATATAATGTCATTATAAACTCATATGAATTTGATGTGGGTCCCATGTCTAATAAGTGAGATATGGGTGTGCCCAAAATCCACCAGCCGCCATACTATAACCCCACTTTACTTTAAAAAAACGTGACCTTTTAAATATTTTTTTCTACGACCACTATGTAAAAGTCACTTTTCATGATGGCATCGTTGCTTAGAAAATGAATCTTTTCATTGGAAAGGCAAAACACGAATGTAAAGTGACATTTCTGTGTGAAAAGTGACAGGTCTGTGTGAAAAGAACCGGAAAGCAGCTGTCAAAAAAGTTTTTAGGTTATTTTGTTTTGTATTTAAAAATAATAAAAAATAAAAGGATAGCAGAAAAAACACTGTGTTATACTTGTGAGAAAAACTTTCTTCAAGCTCGTGTTAATGCACACTCGGCCTAACGGCCTCGCATGAAAAAGTCGCTTTTCATTACTTGTAAAACAAATAACTATTTAAGTTGGTCTTACGTCAAAAGTATTTTATTATAATACTTAAATTTATAAATCCAGCGGTTCAAAAAATAATAACTAAATTACTAAACTATTTTAACTCTAATAATAACATAACTTTGTAAAAACTTTAAACACTTTATAAATAAAGTGTTATATTACATAAATACAGAGTTTTATTAATAAATTAAATTCAAAGTTTACCTAGGGATTATTACGTAAATAAGAATCTACTTAGATATTTCCATATTATTTTCTTATCCCGGCCAAACCTCGCAGCATATATTTACTCTAAAAATCACTTTAAAAATAACAATTTAAAATGGACGAAAATATTTGCGTTGCGATACCGACAGACGTCGTACACTTTTGCGCTATTAAAACATCTCCAAGAGCGCAAAGACAATGAAACAACAAACAGAACATTTCGGTTACTTACCGTAGACGAGCATGCTTTTAGTCCTGATGTCCTCACTTTGAAACGTTGATACAGAGCATGTGTAATCTCCGGAGAGGTCCGGGCCGGCTTTTATAATATGGAGCGCTCGATGGATGCTGTTAGCGTCTACGCCGGCCTCGTACTCCAAATTCAGCCTGTCTTTCAGCACGCCGAGTCCTTGGGGCTTCTTTTTTGTACCTGCAACAGACGTACGGTTACGTTAGAATTCTCTCTTTTTAACTTTTCAATCAAACGTTACTATGATTTTTCTATCTATGTTTAACCGCTCTTTTTCGTTAATATTGTGACATGTCGCGACAATTAAAGTCTAACGAACTCAATTAAAAACAAATTAATACATTTTTTAGCTTGTACACTGAAAAATAAGCTGTTGAAACAACAAAAAATATATATATTCAACTCTTTATGCACTTTAAATACAAGCATTGGTTGTGCACGTTTACTTAACTATCTAAAAATGTCAAATTGTATTGTTTAATTGAACAACAAATATTGGTTAAATGAACAAAATGAGAATATTTGTCCTAATCTGCTAATCTGGTTAATTAAACATTCTTGATTCTTGAGTAATATTTCGAAAATGGTTGTGCTAACATTTTTAAGATCCCAGTCAGCATCCAATTCAGAAGTCTTTTAAACAACTTCGTGTAGAAGTTCTAACATGACGTCTTAAACAGCTCCTTTTTATGAGCTCAGAATTCTGAGCTGTTAATAAACTCATAAATAAGAAGTTAATTTGAAGATCTTTTATTGACCTCTTTTTGAACAATTTATTTTGAGCTTACAGAGTATTCTTTTTTCTTACTTCCAATTGAAATCATATTATTAACTCTTTAAGACGTCAACATGGAGACGTCAAATTTTAATGCGATTACTTTCTTCTCACCGCTGTAACTGCTTGTGTTTGATATAAGAAGCGGCGAAGTAGAATTTAGAGGGTGCCCCATACCAAACGGTCTAAGACCTAGGTAAACGGCTACCCGATACTGACGAGCTCCAAAAGAGCGAAACAGTCCGTCTATCGGTGCCGGTGAAGAGCACGCTTGAATTTAAACAAAAGTGAGACGAAGTAATCGCAATTCCAAAAATAGGCGAATAGGTACGAGCAAATTATTAAAATGATTTTAATAAAATCAATTTAACAAATTCGTTTGTTCTATGGTAATTAAACTTGACATGTCAAAATAAGCAACGATCCAGTATGTAATTTTTTCATCAGTACCCTAGTAGTACTCCAAAACGGGAAATTCTAAAGAAGTATTTTTATAATTTCATACAGAAGTACCTACTCTTTAAAATGCTTAATTGCGAAGTCAAAGAAAAGGGTTCCTCAAGAGTTCTTTTTTGAGAAGTCTGGATTAGTTCAATAGGTGGCGCATTTGAAGTCTTAAGAACTTCTTAAAAACTTCTTTCTGATGTTGTATTTGACGTCCAAATCATAAAATAGAGCTTATGCAGACTTCGTTAAGACGTCATATTGCTGTCTGGGATGTTAAGGTACATTTCTTGAAATGTCCAGGTAACCTTTTTAGCATATTCACTTAACACCAATAAAATGGTAAATTAAAATAATTTGCGCTAATGTTGGGTTAATTAAATTATGGAATTAATATAAAGAGAAAGAATTGAACCTTCCCTCGCCAGAGTTTTTGATTTGAGTGCGTTCCACCTACTTCAAATACCTACCGACATACATCTGATTCGACCTCTATTGGGGGTCTTATCAATCACTGATAATCAGTGTCGGGCAATTTGGTGTAGTGGAAGTTCCACTGTGGAACACACCGAAAACAAACGGCTACCTGAGCTTATATACTGCTATCGTAAGCCAACTGAGACGAGATGTAAGAACATCACGTGATCAACACCGTTTAATGACGTGGCGTGGGTGTTCGAAGCGCCCTTCACGGCAATTTTATGAATGTGGTGTTAGAAATATTTAATTATTATTATTATTTAATAAAATAGCTATTTATGTCATAGGGGTGAGAAGTAAGTATTTTTGTGCTGAGCTTAAAGTTTGAAGGCCGACGCGCTACACCGAAAAAAATAACAATAGTTAATCCAAGTAACATTTTTAGTTTTATTATGGTTTTCAAGAACGCTTTAAAACAAAATTTTGTTTTAAAGCGTTTTTGAAGACCATAATAAAACTAAAAATGTTACTTGTAAAATGAACAAAATAACAATATTTGTTTAAATCTGCTAATATGGTTGATTTAACATTCTTGATATGTCAGAGTAACGTTTTGAAAATATGGACGTATTCTTTTTTTAACTTAATGCAAATTTAACATTTTAGATTTTAAAGTAACATTTACAATTTGTTAAAAGAACATATTTAATGTTGTTTTTTTAGGTAATCCTAAAAAAATTATTATTTGATTCAACCAATTCTTAGCGATTAAATCAAAATAGGATAAACTCTTTAATTTAAACAATTAGTTTATATAAGATCAATATTTTAACTGTCAAATGAACAAATAAACTTTGACAAACTCTGACTATTGCTTTGACACCAAAAAATAAATTAATCCAATACGTTTTTTGTTGAAACAACATTTTCAAAAATTACATTTAGGCAAATGTTAACTCAACTAGTGTATTTTTCTCGGTGTAGCGTGAGGCTTACAATTAAGCGATGCACAGACAGACACGTCTCAGCCAAATGACAGTTTTATTTGTTAAATGAAACATAAAACGTACTTTTAATAATCGTTATTATAATTCAAAGTATAAAGTGAGCTCAAAGCTGTCATCGGTTAGCGAAATTTTTACAGACTAGGATATAAAAAACTTCACCGGATTGGTCTAAATTATTTTTACAGCCTAGGATTTAATACTTTGATAGTGAGCGTTGACAATAATAAAGCTTAAATTATAGGACACTTGAAGATAAACATGTTTATAAATCTACTTTAATTTTTTTGTTAGCTTTTTATTGAATAAAAATTTTTCCAAACATGGGACGACTTTTATTTGGATTATTGCGTACAGTGTACAATATAACAAATTTAGTTTGAATAATAAGTGTGGTATTCCAGGGTTGTATTTTAAAATTACATATTCTAGATGTATATTAGTCAAATTCCAGTGTGGTATTCCAGGGTTGTATTTTAAAATTACATATTCTAGATGTATATTAGTCAAATTCTGCCGAATGAAATAGTCAAAATAGTAGATTTAAATTATAAAAATTTTGACCCATCTGGCAATTGAACTCGAGTGTCTTGCTTGTCAAGTAATCAAATCAAATTAAATCAAACTTTTTTCAATATTAAATAATTATTATTATTAATAATTATTAGTAACAGCATTTTCGCTATGACAATATTGAATTATAATTATAATTAGTCATTTTTTACAAATTTATTTTTTTATAATCTGTGATTTTAAGAGAGCAGAGATTTGTGTAGAAACTATTTTATAAATTATAAGCTATTAACGCTACCATCCATTTATATCTATAGTATTTGTTGTTATGTACGCAAAAATATAAACTATTTTAAAATAAATAAAAATATGCACTTTTACAATACAAGAAATACAAAATACTTTTGTTTATCCATCCATAAAACAAAGTTATTCGAGAAACATCCATTTTACTCAGGATTATCAAATTTATATCATTGAGTAAGGAAGTAACATCTTACTCAATGTTTATATTAAATTATCAAATAAAACTAAAACTAACTTACAAAAAGTGTCAATATTTTTAAATCATTTTTAAAACTAATATAATAAAAAATTGTTATTATAATGTTTATGAATTTTATATTTGTTTGTTATTTATGCATGAACAATTGTTTTATTAATTAATTAGTATAATATAGATAATATGTACTTTATACAATGTATGTATATCTGACGTATTATCTATATTTATTGTTATTAGTTTTTATAATAAAATAAATTAAATTTTTATCACATCTAATGCATTTGAAATTAATGTTATTCTTATTTACTTTATGCTTTATTATTTATTTATTTATATAAAATTTAAAAATAATAATGTAAAAATAAACAAAAAAATACAAACCATAAAACTTTTATGTTTATAACAACCTCCAAGTACTAAAAAAGCTTTTACTATATTTTACTTGGATGGAATCCTGGCATTATAATATGTTATAAAACTTTTAAAATATACGTCCAAGATATATGTATATGAGTTAAAACTATATTGCCTTTTAAAAAATATTATCATGTGTTTTACTAAAAAATGTGCGCTTAAAGCATGATTTTTTTGTAAATAAGTAAATCAGTTTATTAAATTTCCCTGGTGTCACCTCCTTGCGCGATAAATATCGTATTTTACATTTCACGCGATGCACAGTGCTATAAAAAAATTATTTATTATTATTTTATATTAATAATTGCTTCAAGTTTATGCTACTTAAGTACCTATTATATTTAGTAGCATTAAGTTTTTAAAAACGTATCTACTGATATTTTATCTTAGATTAGAAGATAATTGTTTTTAATAAGAATGTGTAATTTAATGAAACTAAAATAATAATATTTTTATTTTAAAAAATGTTAAAGTAGGCAATAATTTCAATGGCTAAATATTTAATTTATATATCTTAAAGATTTATACAAATATTATACAATATACAAGTATTTTCGACCCATGTTCATAATATACAATAATATAAAATTTAAAACTTTTATTTATGAGTGTATTAAAAAAGTGAAATAAAAATAAAATGGACAAAATTGAAGTGTAATCTACAAAGGGTCTAAGTGCCAATTTATTTTAATTATATATAATACATAAAAAAGGACAACTTTGGTGATATGTTAAATAAATATTATAAATATTCCTCAACATCAAAACAAAACAAAAAGCACTTTGTGTTTTGTTTTGGTGTTGGGAAATATTTATAATATTTGTTTATACATAATTTATGTATATACATATGTATGTTATGTATGTATGAATGTATGGTATATATGTTTATACAAAAAAATATATATGTACCTATTTAAAAATTGGTAGTTCACAAATTAATTAATTAGTAATAACACTACTTTACATAATTTAAAAACTTTGTTCCTCATTTCATTTTTTTTTGCTGTGATTAAATTAATAACCGACAGTTCACATAAACGTATATAATAACATAAATATTATTTTAGTATTGTAAGTTGGCAGCACTTGCTTAAAATTTAAACAGAAAGATACAAACGAAATTTAAAAAATTAAAATAAATTTTTTAAAAAATGTGAAAAATTAAAAATCTAATAAACATGTTATAAATATACAATTGTAAAAAAAATAAACTTTACATTATAAAATATAATAAATCTTATCTGATATAGTAATTGAGGTAGGTATAGGTATGATTAAAATATTCAAAATAAAATTCTCAAAAACATATGGTGGCTAACTTTTCAAGATTTCATGCAAATCTCGAAATCTAGTAAAAACCAAAAAATAGCTATTTACATACCATGGGAGGAAAATAATGCTTTTCCTCCCGTGAACAGTTTGATTAAATATTCAATGGAGGAAACGCATTTTCCTCCTGAGGTATGTATATGGTTTTTTCTATTACCTTTTAACGGTTTTAAAGATATTTTAAGCGTTCCGGTTCTTTTTACTAACCAGGTATGGGGCTATAATATTATGACCAAATATTAAGTAGGTTTTGCGTCGCCGACGTTATTTTGACAACGCTTTGTTGCTATGGTATTTTTGGTAAAACAAACATAACAGTTGTTATAAGCTGTCAGGTTATCATAAATTTAAAATTCTTCCTACGTTTTAAAAATGAGTTCTAGCGAAGAAGACCTGCCGCAAGATCTTGCTGAAGAGTAGTTGAAATTAATCTTCTTCTTCAAAAATCGAAAAGGAATATAGTCAAGTATTTTGTTTGTAACTTTGACCCTGATAAAAAATTTGTTACAAGCAATAAACTAAACTAAACAAAGAATGGTTGGACAAGTGCGGAGTAATTCTTTTTCCTACAAATCCAAATAAGACAAGGTACAAAACTCTTGCTAATGTAAAATTGTAAAAAAATAGAGGGAGGAAATTTATTTTCCTCCCGGGGAGGAAAAGAGGCATTTTCCTCCCTCGCTCGGGAGTGGAAAATTAAGTTTTTCATTAAGGTAGTAGAAAAAGTAGGAAATTCTTGTATTCTATTGTAATTAGCAAAAAAATATATTTTTAAAAACACAAAGTTTTGCTTTTGTATGAGATGAAATTCTGAATTGAATATTAAATTATTTATTTAATTTATTATAAACAATTGCAAAAAACAATCTTTTGTATTACATAAGGTCGCTTATTTCTATTATTAGCTATTATCTAAAATATATTTACCTTTATTAAATTGTCTGATTACGTAAACTGAACAAATAATAAACAAATTGAATTACTTTTTAAAACCCATTAGAAATCCCGTCGCGCGGGCCAAATTTCAAATTATAAATACTTCGCGCTAAGCCCTTTATTAACCTGACCTTTCCTGTCATTCAAAAATGATTTCTCATTGTTGACGGCATGCAAATTTTTTTCATAACGCGCGGCGCTCCTGATGAAAGAATCGATAGGCGCGAGGGGTTAAAACGGAAATGATCAAGTGGCAACAAAGAGAAAATATAAACTAAATTAATCACCGCGGTGTCAACTTCATGAAACTGAAATTGCGGCTAAAAATAATATAGTGCTTTCACTGGGCCTACTGGACTAATCAGACCATTGAATCGCGCACACAAATTGACTCTTTGTAATATGTTCCACAGGGTGTCCAGAAATAACGTTAATATATTACGAGGATTGAAAAATAAAATAAAATTTTGCCATAAACATATGTCCGAAAATGCCTCCTGGGGACGCTTTATTTTTGGGGTATTTTTGGGCAATAAATCATCTGGTGGTATCAAATCGAAAAAATAACCATAGGCGTGCAAAACAGGAGGTACTCCTTAATCTTGGAATACAATTGTATTAATTAATTATCCAGATAATTTTATGTAAAAAGGTGCTCTTGCTTCAAAGTTATGGAGCTAACCATTTTTGAGAAAAACGCTATTAAAAATGTTCGCCTCAAAAAAAAATCAAGCGAATTAGTAGGCAATAGAAAAACTACAAATTAGCCTGCTTCGCAAATAAAAGTGTCAGTGATGACATTTATCAAATCGTTTGTTACAATATAAATCAATACAAACTGTAATTTATAACATAAATGGTAAATAACACTTTTCAATAAATGGGGTAATAATCTCGAAGCTTGAAGAAGCACTCCCAAATATACCCCCATGTGAACAGAGGTTTACCAGTTTGTAAACATCAAAGACTGTGTGAAACTGGCACTTTTAAAGTAAACACAGATGTGGTTGCCGCTAATCCTGGGATAAGCACCAGAAGAATTGCTATGAAAGAGGACGTTCCAAAAGTACAATTTGGGAAATAATGCACGAACATCTGCTATACCTATCATTTACAGAGAGTAAAAGCTTTAAATCGAGATCTTCGACAAGAATTATGTCGCTGGTTAAGAACAAAATGGCATGAAGACCCCAACTTTATTGAAAAAATTAGTTTTACCCACGAATCCGGATTCAATAGGGATGAAATTAATAATTTTTATAACGGCATGACTATTATCTTGGGCTGATGAAAATCCGCATGCCTTTATTGAATCAAGGCACCATGGTACCAGCAAAGATTTTCCATCAACGTTTGGGCAGGAATAATTGGAGATTTATTTGTAGGTCCTCACGTCTTACCAAATTTACTGGGCGGTGAAACATACTTGTATTTTCTCCAAAACGTTTTTATAAACCTCCTTGATGACGTGCCGTACCATTTAAGATTGTCGATGTGACTATGGTCAATGCAATTAATATTTTTTTTATATTAAGTTAATTTTGTTTGACATTTTATCTGATATCTAGCAACTGTCAAGCAGTTTTAACCGCACTTTTTACAAATCTGACATCTGTCAAATAGTTTTAACCTCAATTTTTCCCAATTTAATGCACTAGTGCAGAAATAAATAAAAATAGCAGATTGTTATTTAAGTAAATAAAACTAAGTTTTCTTACGAATTGAACTCGTTTTTTCTATTCTTAATTAAAAAGCAATAATTAATAAAGTAAAAATCTTAGATATTTGCTCCTCGTATACTACTGACATCTTTCAGATAGACAATCATCCATCAGACAGTATTAAACAGCGTCGATAAGGCATATATGCCTTTATGGTTTATAGTATATAGGTATTTTACAAAACTACCACAATTATGATTTGTCAAGTTGTACATTCATCGGTTTTGTAAAATACCTATAGGCTCTAAACCATAGCATAAACAAGAATAGTTAAAACAAATATAAAAATGATTATAAAATGTCGACTTTAACTTAAATGAGTATTTTCACCCACAATATAACAATGATTATTTTCGAAGATGTTTTTGAGTTGAAACCGCAGATTTCAAAGGGGGTCATTCCATTTTTCGCAAGATGCGACATATTTTTTCTTAATTTCTTAATTAACTTCTTAACCTGAACAAATTATTTAAGTAAAATTTTGTTTCTGAGCTAATTTCAAATCAGAATTTGTTTTAGAATGACCATTTTATTTCCTAAAAAAATTCAAGATATGAGTACATTAGATGCAAAACTCGGTTTTTGCAAATTAAAAAAAAAAAAAAAATTGGCTTTAAATTCTGTTTGGTGTTCGTCCTAGATAAATGGCGTTTATAAAACTTGATACATAATAATATATATAATATAATATTATTATGTATCAAGTTTTATGAACGCCATTTATCTAGGACGAACACTAAACAGAATTTAAAGTCAATTTTATTTTATTTTTTAATTTGCAAAAACCGAGTTTTGCATCTAAGGTACTCATATATTATTTTTAACATCTGTCACCTGTCATTTTTGACATATGTCACCTGAATCATCATTTTGACATGTTTCTCCTGAAAAACGACCAATATTAAGTCAAATACAAGTTCAAGAATTTTTCTTTCTTAACTCCTAGGCGGAAAGCCCCGATGATTTATTTTCTGGAAGTAGTGGGATACCATCTTTATCTTGATCAAAAATGCAGAAAAAAAATTGATTTTTTTTTATTAAATTCAACGATCATGCAA